AAAATAGGACTCTGTTAGATAAAACAAGCAGTAAATTGGTGAATTAACCTTCAATGGTGATAGACAGGGTGGCTGTTCAGTTTGGTGTTGGGCTACATATGTAGGCATTTAGTAAATGTTAATTGATGAGCCGTATAAAACAGAATGGATAATAGTGATTGGAACCCAACCATTATAAATTTTTAAATAGTTTTTATAGAAATATGCTGCGGCAGTACAATTAAACCTGATTTTGCTATGGCATTTAAGTTGCCACTGCAATTATAGGAGGGGAAGTCTTGGCTCATTGTCATTTAAACTGCTAACTTTGTATCGTTAATTAAACTTTTGAAAGTTGTGGGATAAATCAAATGCTTTTCTAGGGAAACAAGAAACAGTATTAATGAGCAACAACCCCATAATTATCCTTGTGAGTACATAACAGGGACACATTCATGTCTTTTCTTTGCGCAATAACTTTTACAAAGAAGTATTTTTAAACTGATCATTAATTTTATGACCACAGAAATGAGATGCAAAATTTATGCTGTTGTCATTGGCACAGGCTCAAGGCACCGCTGACATTATGTGTGATTGTAATCGAATGGCTGCCAACTAATGATTCTGTAGACATTTCATTTGAGGACGCTTTTCTTTTAGATGTCTGATTAGGCTGTAATGCTTTCAATTATGTCTGTAAATTGTATTGGATACGTTTACCTGATGCCCATTGTTGATTTGGAGTTCAGTTTTCTATTACATAAACACAAGTTGAACATTTTCCTTTTAATTTATAGAAGTCTTTGCAGGTATAGCTGCAAATACCCAGCCCCTGGGGAGGAGAAATGCTTTGCACTACTCAACAGCGACCCCTGTGTTCAATTAAAGCTCCTTATAATACAACAGTCTTTATTCTTCATTGGGCTGGAAAAAAGAAAAATTAGGGAGGATGAAGGGGATGGATCATTACTGGAACAATCATAAATTGAAGATACTGAAAAAGATGTGTCCTTTTAACTTAAATGCAAGTTGAAAACTGGTGTAGTCTGCGTAGATATTCTAGAGATTCTTTATTCTCTAAATTCAAGAGATGTGAAGAACACAAGGAAGAAAATGAGGGCAGTAGCATTTATTTTGTAGTATATTTGTCTTACATAAATACAGATATCACAATGAGTTTTTAAAAAACAACACTGTGATTGGCTAGTTTTTAGAATGGGTAAGTTGAAGACAATAAAGAAACTAAAAAGTGCTTTAGAAAAACAAAAGCCACAGAGATTTTTAACATGTTCATGACCAATTTATATATGATATTTTTAAACTCATGTGAAATATTATTGAATGTACAGCTTTATTAATGGTATTTTAAAGCTATGTACCACATATAGTTTGGTTTATGTATATGTGTGTATGTGCATATATATTCCCATCTGGACACACATAGGAGTCCTGGTGCTACTAGGATAAGTACTGGATAGCTGATTGTTGTAGGATAAGCAATGAACTGCTAACCACAGGTCGGCAGTTCAAACCTACCAGTTGTTCCTTGGAAATCCTATACAGGGTCAAGATATATACACATACATACATACATGCAGGTTGATATATATACATACATACAGGTTGATATACACACACATACAAACACACACAATGTGTTGTTGTTCAGTGCTGTTGAGTTAGTTCCAACTTAATAGCTACTGCTGACCTTGTGATTTGAAATCTAGTTCTGGTCCTCCAGCACCACACCAGGATTCCATACATATGCACAAACATGCATATAGTCAGGTTGGTTCCCACTCATAGTGACCCTATGCACAGGAAAATGACACACTGCTCTGTTCTGTGCCATCCTCACAATTGTTAAGTTGGAGCACATTGTCACTGCCACCCTGTCAGTCCATCTTGTTGATGTCTTCTCAAGGGGACTGGTCCTTCCTGACAACATGTCCAAAGTACTAGAGTTACAACAACTAGAGTTGAAGTTTCAGCATCCTTGCTTCTAAGGAGTATTCTGATTGTACTTTCAAGACAGGTTTGTCTGTTCTTCTGGCAGCTCCTGATACTTTTTGCCAATACCATAATCCAGATGCATCCATTTTTTCTGTAATCTTCCTTATTCACTGTCCAACTGTCTCATGCATATGAAATGATTTAAAGCACCATTGCTTGGGCCATGTGTCCCTTATATACTTATATGTGTTGTTGTTAATTGCTGTCGAGCTGGTTCTGACTCATAGCGACACTCTATAGGGTTTCCGAGGAGTGGCTGGTGAGGTTGAACCACCAACCTTGCAGTTCAAACCAACCTTGCAGCACATTAACCCACAGTGCCACACCAGGACTCTACTCATGTGTACATATAATAAATCCCAAACCAAACCTATTGTTACTGAGTTGATTCCAACTTATAGAGAACCTAGAACAGGGCAAAACTGCCCCATAGGGTTTCCAAGGCTGTGAATCTTTATGGAAGCAGATTACCACATCTTTCTCCAGTGGAGCAACTGGTGGATTTGAACCATTGGCCTTTCAGTTAACAGCTGAACGTTTACCCATTGTGCCATCAGGGTTCCTTATACATGTGGATACTGGATTTTAGAAATAGATAAGCTACTTCTGATTCTCAAAATTTTTTAGTTTTATTTTTTTCTGTTTATCTCCACAAGGAGTTTAAATAAGTTTAAGCCTGAGCATCTGATTTTTTTCCCCCGACACTTTCCATATATTCACTGGTCTACCAATGTTTTTATACTCATAACAATGTCATGTTGTTGTTTTAAAGTGCCGTGGAGTTGGTTCTGACTCGTAACGACCCTGTATAGGGTTTATTAGGTGCTGCTGGTGAACTTGAACTGCTAGTGTTGTTGTTCCAAACGATTGATTTTGAGTCCAGCACATTAACCTGCAGCGCCACACCAGGACTCCAACAATGTCATGTGCTAAGTGCTAAGTTTTGGTGATGTATTTGAAGTACTCTACTGTCATTTTTTCATAGCAAGATTTATTTTACAGGACATGATATGAAATGCTCTAGAATATAAATATTATTGCTTTGTTGGGAACATTAGGATACTCTAGCAACTAAGAACAGCTGAGAATTTTGTGGCCTCTATTATTACATGGGGGTGTCCTGGTGCCGTGCCATAGGATAAGCACTCGACCTCAAGGTCAGCTTGAAACACAAGGTCAGTGGTTCAAACTCACCAACCAATCCTTGGAAACCCTTTACAGAGTTGCTATGAGTCAGAATTAACAACAGCAAATTACTACGTGCAGTCCTGGTGTGGTCCTGTAGGGTAAACACTGAACTGCTAATCACAAGGTTGGCAGTTTATACCCAGCTGCTCCTTGGAAGGCCTATACAGAGTTGCTGTGAGTCAGAACTGGCTCAGTTAACAACAGCAACTTCTGTATATCCCATGATATTATGTATATTCCATGTTCAAACATATTCTTCTGAGCACTGTGTAAGATTCTTTTGACCTCACAGTCTACATTAGAGCCCATTCTTCATTTCATAAGAGACAACTGAATTGTCTGAAAAGTATTTTGAACATCTGGAAAGAGAAAACTAAGATCTGAAGAATGGCTAATGTTTACGTGTTTCTTGGACGTTTGATTAGAGAACATCGCCACTAGTGAGGGAGCCACGAAAGACAACAGGTAGTCATCTCTGTTGTCTGCTTTTAGTGCCTTGATGGAAGATGGCCCAGTTTTTACTTTCAAAATCATGACGATGAACCTTGATGAAACAGAAAACTCGTAAGAAAATAGAGATAAACATGGCTCTTTAGTTATTTTGACAGTGTTGCCTTGAAAGAGGCTGTTATACCAAAAATAGGTTGAAAAATTATTTTAACACCATCAGATAGGAGCCAGAGGATTCAGATATGCTTTTGGAGGGACTCCTAGCTTTCATCTAGACCTTCCCAGGAACCGTGGTCCTAAAGTGATACTGTAGGTACTCCAGCGTACCTATACTGAGTTTCATGATGCTTTCTGGGTAATTACTGAGGTGGTTGGTTTTTTTCACAAAGGATTAGCAGGTAACTTGAATTGTTACTAGGTAGATACTTGGGGTGAAAAATGACTAATTTTCATATAACAAGACAAACAAATATCTGATTCATCCTTTTTTTAAAAAAGTATTTACTTGGTTGGGAGAGAAATCTACCACAACATCCTATCATGGGGATTGAATGGCTTAAAAAAACAAAACAAAACAAAACCAACCCAAACTCGGGATTTGGAAATCAAGTAAAAAACTGGCAAGACAACAAAAAAAAATTGGAGGTGTCTAGTTTGTGAAGTAATTTGTTTAAACTTTAAGTTTCTATGAGTTTTAAAGAGTTTGCACACTCCACAATGCAGGTAGGTATTTATAATCGATTTTCATATAATCCTGTGGTTTAAAATGAAACTGTAAAATGGCCATCTATTTTGACATCCCCACGTTTTTGTCATAATTTTACAAATTAATTAGTAGATAAATGGTATTACTTAAACTATTTCTCCTGCTGTGTTTTCCATGTTGTTGTTTTTAACTGTTACTTTCTTACTTATTTTGGATTCATACTTTGTTTTACCCTGCTTCTGCGCTTTGTATTATTCTTTGTACAGATTGACATAACTTTGGGATTTTTACCTTTTTACATAGAAAGTAAGCATAGATTGTTGCTGTCCAGTTGGTTCCAACTCATAGCAACCTGTGTAGGGATTCTGAGATGTGGCTGGTGGGTGTGATCTGCCAACCTTGTGGTTAGCAGTCCAGTACTTATCATACACACCACACCAGGACTCCAAGCGGTCATATACTCACCTTCAAAACCCCCTCCTAAACCTAAATTGAACTGGATGTAAATTACAATAAGACCTGTTTTTACCTACTTCACAAAGTTTTCCTTTTTCTTCCTGGTTAATAATTGATTTTAGTAACAAAATGCACATGTGCTGACAAAGTAACGTTGCTTTAAACAGCTAAACTTATAAAGGCATTTTTCTGTTTTTTTTTTTTACAGGTGATGCAGAAGATGATGATCCTTTCGCTGGCTCTTCAGACACGGTTTCACTAGCCTCAGAACGATTTGATAAAGATGACGAAGGCCCTTTTGATGGTATGTAACATTTTCCCCCCAGACGGCATGCTTGATCTTTGTACACCAAACAATGCAATGTGTAGAGGTGGTGGGTCTTGTTTCAGTTCCTTTACCTTTACCAGCACCTTTTAAGGAACAGAAGAGCTCTCTCTAGTGGTTCTAAAAGAATACTGAGGGTTTCCTAAGTCTTGTAGTTGCTGCTTCGTCTAGGATATGCTCCTTATTAGAATTTTTAGGAGATTGGTTATATCATTATATTACCTTTAGTGGATAATTTGATATTATCAGATTCATGCTTAATTTTCTTATGTTACTTAATGCCTTTTTGTTTTATTAATTTTATGAATAATGAAACAGGTTTTTGATCTATTTTTTTCTGGAAACTTCACTCAAAATGAGTTCATGAAATATTAAATTAAGTGTTTCTACGTTGCCTTTTAACATTGGGACATGTTTTCAACAAATACTTTTTAATGTGCATTCTCCTTTTCCTGAGTGTCACTTAAAAATGCCCTGCAATATGTCAAAATATTATTGCTTTTTATATTAATTGAATTAGTAATAAAGTTGATTGTTTATCTCTTAGTAATTTCTAAAAACTATTGAATACTGTAAAAGTTATGGAACTTATTTTTAGTATAGCATGTGTTTTCTCCATTATAAGCTGAGTGCATCTGTATTATAAAAACCTTATAAGGGTGATAGATAGTTATAAATTAAGAATGTGTGTAGATAAATTCGCCATGCATATTAATTTGTGGCACTCAAAGTTTCACGTAGACAGAAAAATGAATAATGCCTTCTGCCATTGTATGATGATCAAACTGTGCAGTTCCATCTCTAAATACAATTGCTGAATGAAAATATGCTTCCTGCAACAGAGCACTCCACGTTTTATGTTATCCAGATTATTCCCTTTGGAAACATAAATTGCTTTTATGAGGTATAAAATTATATCTATTGCAGAGCAGGGATAAGTCAAGTACATGCATAAGTGATAAACATTCTAACCACTGATTCAGAACAACAGTCTTTTATATATATATATATATATAGGACTTTGCACAATGTATAGCAATAATCATCATATTCATTTTATGTTGGGTTTTACATTTTCACAAACATTTAATTTCTGTTTTAAGGGAAGAGAATTTTTTTCTCTTGTATTCTTGTCCCATCTTTTGAAAAGATGCACAACATTTCTTTTCAGTTACAGTTATTTTTCAAAATAGAACATTACCCTTTCTCACCTGGTATGCAAAGAGTTTCTTATAGAAAATAATGAAACAGTTTTATGCAAAACTAGGAATTATCTGTTAACTTGCATGTATTGTGAAATATTATAATTATTTTGCCTCTTTGTAAAGTAATAGTATGTATGAATGAGTGTGTGTGTGTATGTACACATATAGAGAATATTTATACTCAAGAGAATAGGTAGACATGCACACAGAATTTATGTATGGAGTTATATACTTCAGAGTTTTTCACAATAATAAGCAATTTGGTGCATGACGGAAGATTATGCCATTCTTTAAAAAAAATGAGCCCTCAGAAATGAAACAATTAAATACTTGTAAGTGCCAGAAATATTCTATTAATTTGTTAGAGAAAGTGAATTATTGTTATAAGTTATTTACATCATTATCATATTTCTTTTCTTTTGAAAAAATCATTTAACCATGTTTGTTTTAATAGCTGAGTATATTAGAAACGGATTGATAACATGAAAAGATTTGATATTTAAAGACTACTTTATCAATATTTGAGGATTGATAGTTAATAAGTAATTATTTAATTACATCAAATTTTTATTGAAAGTAAGTACATTTTGATTTATGTCTGAATAAGCAATTCTTAAGCAGATTGAAAATTTAACTTTTAATGTTACTCATTTGAGGTACATAAATACTATTTTTGATAGTTTTATATTTTCTTATGTGAATATTATCATAAAATAATAAATATACTACCTCTTAGACTGTTCACTTTGACTCTAAAATATCATTGAGCCATGTCACTTTTTCCCCTGCAATTTCTATTTTTGATGTGTACTCTTTCCTTTGTAGAAGAAGTTTTCCTTCATTTTGTGACCTCAGTCTAATAGTGTATTAATTATAAAAAGATAATGCATTTAACAATAAGTATAACCAAATTATCACAGGTCACCAAAAGGCCTTTGTCAAATCTGATTGTTGTTTTGTCCTTTTGACTTTTACCTTATGGTAGGCACTAACAAAGTATCTGAACTTTGATGGATTATAAACTCCAAACATGATATGTATTTTTCATAATGCTAATGTAATTTTCAAGGTACTGAAAAGGTCAAACCTGCACATCTCTGTGTGCATTCTAAATCTATCTTTCCCTTTAATATTTCTTTTTCTCTGTTCCTCTGGTTCAAAAGTTCACTCAGTTCCCAAATGGCCACCTAATTTTCCAGTTATTCCCTCCAGCCATATGTGTTTTGGTTTCTTTATGGTTTATTAGGTACTGTAGGAGAGTAGCATAAGTTATATCTTCTAATGAAATTCAAGCACACTTCAGTGATGCTTCGACTTGATTGCTGGTAGCAATTAAATCACAGCTAAGGAGAATAACGCATAATCTCACAAAGTCCAGACACCCTATAGAAACTGAAAGGGATGAAAACAGAAAACAAAAACAAAGTCTCCAAACCCTGCCAGACACACTGTTTCCAGCCTGCTTTTTTTTTTTATTGGCCAACTGCCTGATTGATAGCAAAATCATAACTTGCTGCATGCTAACAGGCAGAGTTCACTTGTAGGTTATTGTGAGCTGATAAAGGGTTAGATGGAGTTTTGATTTTCGCATTGGACCTTGGTACACCAGATTAATGGAATTTCAATGAGAGACTAGAGTAGCCACAGCTTTGTCAGAGAAACAGATGGAGATTCTATAGTCATGTCTGCTCATTAATACTAGTTGTCTGTGCTGTTTCCCTATACAAAAGAGTTGATATAATTGATTTTTGAGTGGAGGGTTGGAAAAAAAACACACAACACGTTATTGATGACTAGAATTGCAACATAGATGGTGACAAATTTTTGTATCACTTGTAGCATAAAAATTTTGCACTTTGTAATTTTTTTCTTCTCTCTTTGGAAACACTTTTTTTTTTTATCTCCCTGAGGGGAAACACATTTTCAAGCCAATAGCAAAAAAGGAGAAAATAATGTGCTAAATTACTTTTAAAGAAAAAGTCTGTATTTTATTTCTAAATGGTGATATAAGTGGTAGCAAATTTTCATATTGACATGGTAATATTTAGAAAGAAATTATTTTAGAAATTTCATTTTATTAGTTTTGTTTTACCCCCTGGAAACTTTAAAACAAATAATAATAGTTTCTAGACTAGTGCAGATCTTTGTTGACAGTTTTATGCTGTGTTGTGAAGTGTTAATATATGTGGTACATGTAAGTTATCAGACAAACATTAGATATCATGAAACTAAAAACCTGAAATAATATCCCTTATTGTACATATGTTAGCATGTTTATTTGGGTGCTAAGCTGGTAGATGTTGTTGTTGTTACCAAGTGCCATCGAGTTGGTTCCTACTCATGGCGAGATAGTAGGTAGCTTTTAGACACTGTATAATTATTTGAATTTCCGTTTTTCTGTTCTGAAATCATTTTTCATTCATTTACATTATTTGTGAAAGGAAGCTTCTAAACATATAGCAATGTGGCGTCCCTGAGGTAAGGTGCAAGGACTCAGTGAGTTAGAAGACACATATCGGCTCTGCCTATCAATGATAGGTCAGAGGATCCCAGTGGACATTTGTTACACATCTGATTCAGTCCTAGACCATAATCATTTTGTGGATAAGAATCTGAGACCTCTAGGGTCTGAATATAGGAAGGCTAAAATGAAGCTGGAGGTATGAAATAGTCATTTATCGTTCTGATACCTTCTGAAGTGAAAATTCTCAACTAACAGGTTACTGAAAGCTCTGGGTATTGCACAGGAATACATTTATGTGAAGAAAATATTAGTTTAGGAATGGAGCTCTTTCTAAAGCTTGGGAATTAAGAAAACAAGGTTAATCAGTTTTCATAGTAATTAATAATATTAAATGTATTTTTTTGTTAGTTTATTAAAAGTGTAGGAAAATTTGGGTTTATTAAGTCATGTATTCTAAAGGATTGCTTAAGAAGGATTCTCTCCAAGATGTCTGTAAACAGTGAGTTTCCTTAATACATGTAATAAAGACGTAGCTAGAAACCCGCTCATGTGCACATACTTAAATGTAGTATGCCTCACTTCTGAGGAAAATGTTTTTGTGCGTGGAAAACTAGGTCTAGCACTAACCATTTGTTATAAAAGCTAAGTAATAGATGCTTTATGATTCTCTAGGTTCCCATAGACTATAAAGGATTTAAAGCAAAAACAAACAAACAAATAGGATTAATTCAGTAACTTTCCATTTAGGCTGTGTTTTTTTTTCTACAGTAGTAGAAAATAGTTTTTGACATTTAAGATTCTCTTCTTTATATTTTATTGAGCATTTAAATTAGCTTGCAACTTGCACACACTTTATTTTATATGTGCATAACATTTCTTCTTATTGCAGCTATGCTTTTTACCTTAAATGCATCAAATCGCTTGCCTGTTTGTGTTTTATCAATATAAGAAGAGTGATTACTTCAGTCATTCTGTAATGCATGTAACACAGTTCCAAGTACTTTGGTAATAGGGTATGTAGAGTTTTGGGAAATGATAAAGGACATGTTTTTAGCCTTCATGATGCATATAGAGTGATTGGGGATATAAAGTACACAGATATGAAATATTTTTGTAATATAAAAGTGTGTATGAATAAATGAAAACAAATCGCTATTGAGAACCAGCTAAGTTTATGCCATTGAATGAGAAAACACATTAGAGTATAACAAACTGGACAAAGTAGACTATAATAAAGTACACTAGATAAGAAACATGGTAAGGATAAGAAAACAACATTATTAGAGGCAGGATACATCTTTAATATAGTA